CTGGTACAAAACGTTTTAAGTTGTATATATAATTTTTGCATATTTATTCATATTTTTTAATTGTTTGTTTTAAAATAAATTTTTATCTAAATGAAAAATTTTTTCTAGAACCTTTGCCAAAGTGTTTATTTAAAAATAAATATATATTATTTTATTATGTTAAACATTTTACTTACAACATTATAGGAATGGTTGAATTCAACCATGGCAAAGTTTTATACGCTACTGATTTAATCAAAACATTACAGAGTATGCATCTGATGAAAAAATACGCCAAGCTTGCTTTTTATATTGATACTTGTAGTTCAGGTAATTATATTTTAAAATTAAATGATAATTATTAAAAATTTAACACGGTAGCTTATCTCAATTAATCATTATTAAAATTTATTTACTAGGCTCCATGTTCAATAAAGTACTACCTGATAACATTAATGTGTACGCGGTCACTTCGTCACTGCCAGATGAAACTAGAAACTTTTTAACTTATGATGATAAACTGAAAACATATATAAGTATGGTAAATTTATTATACACTGTTTATTATAATTAACAAATAATAATTTACCAGGCTCGTTTTTTGCAAACAATTGGCTCGTAAATGATGAGACTTACGATCTGGAAAATGAGACGTTTGATGAACAATATAAGTATTTAGCCGATAGGGTTAAAGTTGATGAGGATGATTATCAACATGCACAACATTATGGAAATTATAGCTTAGGTCAACTGCATATTGCTGAATTTTTAGGTCATAAACAAAGAGGATCGTTAAATGTTCATGGAAATAAACAAGATCAAAATAATGAAACAGTCAGCAAATGGGATGTGGCATTAAATTTATTGGAAAAAAGTATTAGCAGTGCTAACAATGATAATGAAAAATTAAGGTAAGTAGACATTTTTACTAAATTTTATAAAACATAAATTTTGTAAATTTTTGACAGTTATGTGAAGGAAATGGAAAGAGTGCTAAATGGCAGACAATATGTTGATAAACACATCAATGATTACGTGAATAGTATTCAACACTTACTGACAGTTGAAAGTAATGTCGTGTTAAATGCAAAACTAGAACTCAATGACAGTCAATGTTATCGAAAATTTGCGGATACTTTCAATGAAAATTGTTTCGATTTGACACAAGTATTTAAACAAAAATTAAATTTGTTTGCTTTATAAAAATATATTGTATTAATTATAGGATACTTATGTTTTACGCAAATTACAAGTATTTGTGAATATTTGTGAAACAATGCGTGAATCGAGTGATGCGGACATCGCTGTCAACCAATCAACACTAACACTAACAATCAATTTGGATATATTTTATAAATATAACATTAAAATTATTATTAAAAAACAAAATTATGCTAAAACATGATGTTATGTTGTGATAATTTCTATTAGATTATTTTATTATTGTATTTTAATTATTATGTGATTATTAATATAAACTTTCTAAATCTATTTTGCAAAACGTATTTTATTGTAAAATTTATCAAATATAAACCTTAATTAATTATTTATTTACATTAAAAACAGAATTGCTTATCATTACCATATGGAACTTTAATAAACCAATATAAAAAATTATATTAATAAAATACACGCCATTTTTATTGCTTTATAATTACTATAATTATAATTAATAACGGTTACTTTGGTCAATCAATTGGACGCACCGCTAGTGATACTAATATGTCGTCTCGATTCTGTTACGGATACCACCAAAAACAATTAAAGTAAGTTTATATTTAGTTAATTTTAAATTAACACAAAATATTGTCAATTACAGGGCTCTTAAAAACATAGGACTTTTAAACAAATGTCTAATTATCTGAATGAGTTAATTAATAGCATTAATCTTTTGATCGGGGTTGAATTCGAAGCTATCCTACACGGTAAACAAACGAGTTAGTAGAGAATCAACAGACACAGCATTATGGTGATATTAACGTGAGTAAACTTAACATTCAATTTACCAATTTTTATATAAAAATAACATTCTATATATTACAGGTAGTAAATTTACACAAAATGATTCAAAACAACGATGCATTTAAAATAATAACAAACAAGTTGTAAATAAATATACTTGATAAATAACAAACTTATGTTTTAACGTCAAACTTTTGTTATACAGATAACTTTTTCAATTCAAAACATTAATAAGTTAGAATCTCCCTCTTTCTCTCTCTCTCATAGATTTATATAAAATAATACTTAATTTTAAAAACTCTAATTAAGAATATTTAATTAAATTTCAATTTCAAACTATTCTTGAAATATTTCATATGAACTTACAATCCATTTATCAATTGTCATAATCTTATTTCTATTGTCGTGAATGTGAATACAGTCACTCCTGGAATATTCCAGTCGACTATCATGATGACTTCAATGAGCTCACACACCAGTCATCACACCTATACATCACCTCATGTGCATACGATGTGCACATACT